TCCTGTTCTTTCCTTGTCCCCTATCCCAAAATGCTTTGCAAGGTCTACACAAGGATTGCATTTCACTGATATGCAGAATCCTCTGGGGCGAAATACAGCAACCAGTGATCAGTTAAATTGCTATGTAGTGTTGCAGTGTTTCTTTTACCGTTCTAAAGAACTTATCCATCTAAAGCCACAACTGTAAAATCACAGAAATGTGTAATACCTTTTCAAAATCTCTCTTCAGCACCGTCTTCTAGATAGCAGTGCCAAGGAAGGATACAGACCAGACCAGCTCAAAGGAGAGATTGAATTCAAAAACATCCATTTCAGTTACCCATCTAGACCTGATGTTAAAGTAAGTGATCTTATTAAATTCATCTTTGCAGTGAAAAGCTGCTGCCATTATCTGTGTGACTAAAAAGAAAACTGATATTTTATCAATTTAATGTGTTTATTTTAATTCAGTTTTTTTAAAGTGTCCATCCTGTACTCTGGGTATTTATGCACCACATTGTGGTCTAGTTGAAAAAATATTGGGTGAAGATTCAGGAGACCAGGATTCTATTCCCAGTTCTGCCACGGCCTGCAAAGTAACACTTGGCAAGTTACTTCACCTCTCTCTTCCTCAGTTTCCCCATCTGTAAAATGGGGATAGTAATACTGACCTCGTCTTTAAAGTCCTTTGAGATATATGGATGAAATGTACTATGTAAGAGCTAAATGTAAAAGCTAAATGTTGTTATTATAACAGTTATAAAAATACAACAACAATGCAGGATGAATGTCCTTCCAAAACTAAATTTTTGTTTTCACCACCATCATCCACCTTTTCTTCATTTTCACCTGCTGGAGAAAGCAAGGGAGAACAAATGGTGCTTACAGCATAATCTGAAAGTGAGTAAATTTGGCCTCTGGTGAATTGAATCAGAAGCAAATTCTTCTTTCAAGCTCCTCACCAAGAATGCCTCACCTCCAGCCCTCATGTAGTTAAACCCAGAAAGCTGTTTGTGTCAGTGTTTCAGAAGATCTCAGCTGCTGTGATATCTCATGTGGGGAGAAGTAATCTTAGAGATAGCCAGGACTCAACCTATTTTAAGGTTAAAGCCATTATTCTAAATCACTCCTGACCATGAAATGGAAGCCAGTGTAGATCAGAGCATGGAGGTAAGATTCTCCCTACAGATAATGCCCTCTAAGAAACAGACTGCCATATTCTCCACCTGTTGAAGTTTGTGAGGCGAGTCATCTTATTGTACAGTCCCATGTATGATACTTTGCAGTAATCCAATACTTCTCTCTGGATTGACATCTGTACCAGAATTGAAAGTTCAGAACCTTCTGGCCAAGGGTAAAAGACAAACAAAATGCTATTCGCCACTACTGCTTCCTGCGTGCAAAAGCAGCTGTGGATCCAACAGGTTACAATCTCAGTTGAGTGTGCTGCTGTTAGCGCTGCCATTTCTTCTGATGGGTTCCTCCAACCTACAAGCATAAACTCAATCATCTCTGAGGTGAGTCACAGCTGATTTGCCTGCATCTAACCCACCCTGTAACTTGCTGGCTAAGCCAGTCTACTTCTCCCAACTGGGTCTGATGAAACAGAGACCTAGAGCTATGTTATCTGAATATTGAAGACAATGTAGTCTGTACTGTCTCACTGTCTTCCCCTAATGACATTTATCAAATTGGATAAACAGACTGAGGTAAAATGTTCCTAAACGTGAACATAGCATCAAAAGTGTCATTACTCCATGACTAGTACCTCCCTAGTAAATTCTAGAGATTGTCAAACCCTGACTCTTCATTCCATTGGGGATATTAAAACACCCACTTTGTTTTCAGAGCCAAAGGTTTTTTCTTAGGGCAGTCTTTATAGAATAAGAATAGAACAGAGCAAGATTGTTTTTATTACTAATAACATTTTCTTGTCATCTTCAAAGTGCTTTCCAACCAGGATTGGAACAAAGGACTAAAAGCAGGCCTGGGA